CTGAATGTGTAATTACCAGTTGGTCCTTGGATGGAAATGTAGTGGGGGAGGGGCAACCTGGAGTTTCTAATACAAAGCGCTAGAGCGCAGAGAACAAGACGTAGCCGACTTCGTGATCCCGTAATCATGCTCAAGATGGTTCCTCCACCATGTCAGGGCAATATAGTTCTCAAGTGATTGTAAGCCGAATTAGGAGGGAAGGAACTCCGAGGTAGGTGAATTGATTGGCTTCTCAAATCTACCCCATCCTAGGTTCCCGATGAAGTAATCATCTCAACTAACGCAGTACTCTTTCCTACCAAACTTTAGGTTAAGAACTATATTCCATTGAACAAAAACGGTCCCTATGCATAGGTAAAGGGTGAAGTCAGCGACCCTTCTTTCACTGCGCCTTTGCGCATCATATTAAACTGCTTTTGTACTCATGAAAAACATATCCCTCTGAATAATAAATATTTTTTTTATTTTTTATGAACTCGAACTTCACCTGGTAGAGATAGTTGCTCAGAATAAACTGCAATTCACCGTCCATTTCGAAATAACTGCGATTGTAGTATAACGTGTTCAATGGTTCGCTGCAATCAGTACAATAGGGCTTGACTTCTATGAAATATTCTGAATAAGCATTGTAAGATGATTTCCCCCGTTTGCAAAGAGTTTCCGAGATATGTATGAGGCACAAAGCGGAAGAAATAATGAAAACACAGGGCAGATATGAGCAGATACTACCGATTGCTGCAACGTGTAGAAGTTTTTTGAGGGAACGATTTTGTGGTTAGACAGAGCAGGTGGCCTTGAACAGACGCGAGCGCTCGCGGCGCAGCACTATCAAAACTACCTATGATTGGCTATTTTGCATTAAGGCGATTGTCTCCTGTTTAATAATTCAATATTTCATACAAGAGTAGAAGTTTGAAAGTGCACTTTATCTTTGAATGTCCACCCGGTTAGGAGATCTTTCCCAAATGGGCGCGCTCCAAAGATGGGCAAAAGCTATCTATAAGGATTTAGCGATCTGCACATTTATTATGGGATCCGTAAAAGAGACATTGGAAGACAAAAAATAAAAAGGAACGAAAGATAGCCTCGCTTGCTACTAATATTTTGGCACATAATTTTTGTTTTCAAAATAAGTTTATGTGACGAAATTGACCTAAATTCGGAACAAAGGATAGAGGTATAGACGTTGCTCCAAAATTTCTCGCTTACTAATATTTGGAAAATATCGCTTACTTGGAATTAACCCATGGTTGTACGAAGTCCGGAATGTGAAGAGCAGCTCGGACTTCAGGCTGATTCATATAGACGGCAGCCATATCGTCACACCAACATGGAAAACCGTCCAGAGAATCGGACGAGATCGCGTTCGTGTACTGGAAATATGGTTTTGTCCATAAAA